AAGCTCACATGTCAAACAGTAAAAAAAAACAGTTTAAAGCCGGTGAAGAGGAAGGGGGGAGGAAGAGAAGAGGAAAAAAAAAAAGAGAAAAGAAAGAAGAGGAAAAAAGAGAGGAAAAAAAAAGAAGAAGAAAGAAAAAAAGAGAAAGAGAGGGAGAGAAAAAAAAAGAAAAAAAGAAGAAAAAAAGAGAGAAAAGAAAAAAAACAGAAGAGAAAAAAAAAGAAAAAAAAGGAATTGGAAATCGGAAAGTAAAAAAGAAAAGAAAAAAAAAGAAATAAGAGGAGGAGGGTTGACGCCCGATCCACCGCGACCGGCAGCCACCACCTCACCTTCACATCTCCTTCCTCCTACCGCCACCGAGACCACCACGCCCCGCCTTTCCGCCGCCTCGTCGCGTCACCTCTGCAGCGCCGCGTGTCTCGGCCGTTCTCGCTCGTCCCTGCCGCCGTCGCCTTGCAGCAGATGTCGCTGGATCGGGTCTTCCTCCACAAGCCGTGTTTCCGTTTCCTCGCGGCGACCGACCGGAGCGACGAAGTCGCCACCTCGAGCTGCTGCAGCTACCGCCTCATCGCCGTCTCCACGCACCTGTGTTGCCGCCCTCGTCATCTTCCTCCTCGTCGCCGACCAGCAGCGCCGCCTCGTCGTCACCACGCTAGGTGAGCTGGGTTGAAGACGACCCGAATAGGGTCTCTGGGTCGGGGCGTTTCAAACTATTACTCATTGATAAGGGTTGTGACTACAGGCTCTCAATTTCGGATTCAAGCTGCAACTTTCTCAAAAAGAAAAATGATAGTTTAATTAGAGGTTTAATGTAAAGGTATGTCTAACTTTTTTTACTTTCTGGCTATTTTTTTAAATAAAATGTCGGCAAGTCCTTACAACAAACCCAAACCATTCACATATACTATGGCAAAAAAAATCATTGTTCTAATTCAAAGTACAAAGTCATCATATCTTACCAATATTATTACCAACAGCCTGCAAGTCTAATTAGTGAAAACGAGTGAAGGACAACTACATAGACTTTTATATGACTTTCTGGTTTGTACGTAGGCAATCCTAATCAATAACAACTCATTAACATGAGATTTTTATTTTCTGATTTGATCTAGTTTTGTTAAGGGGTATGACTACATAGAGGAAAAAAATAAACACGTGCTGATAAACTGAAAGAAAACCACCCCAAAACTAGGTTTTGAAATGAGGGGGTAAATTTTATAAAGAACGAAATATGTTATTTTCTCTTTGAATGAAACAACTGGATGACTCCAAAATTAAAGAAAACGACGAGAATTTTTGCATAAATATATGGTCGGCCTCATAATGTACATAACAATAATTATTAGAACCAAAATTTTGTGATTTTTATGATAACTATCTTTTTCTTTTCATGATAACCATGAGTTCAAGAGAAGCTTATATATGCACTTAGCCAGTATAAGTCGAAATCTATCTTGGATTTGTAATTGTTTAAATAGACTGTTTTCGTAATTCAATCGGTAAAAATCAAATGACCCAGTTGATTTTTATCCGAACCATGTGAAACCGGTTTGAATGAACAAAAAGGTCAGTACGTGTATGCACTTAAAACCCTGAAATCCAAATTTATAAGTTTATATAATGACGAATACTAAATACATGTATGCATTAATTATTCCTTTAAAAAATGTATTTGTTATCCTAAATATTGATCATCGGTAGATTCCGTTGCGGTTTTTATAGCTTTTTTTTATATATAATTTTTTTTTTTTGATATAAAGCGGTTTTGATTGCTTAATGGATCCTTGATGTCTATAATTAATAAAGTTTCCAGTTTGACCACTTGATCCTTGGATTTCAACAGTAAATTAATGACTCATGCCTTCATTGACCAGTCCAATTCAGATAATTTGGAGAACCTTTTCGTGTATGTCGTTGAAGGTTTTTCAAGAATGGTAAATCTCAAAAACAAAGGCAAAAAGACCGGAACCATGATTTCAGAAAAATTCCGTCAACTATCAATTTCTCTACTAGTGTCACCAGCTCCAGCTTCATTTTCTTTTGCAGCTTCTTATGGCTGACATTGTAATAGTTAAGATATCATAACAGCTTCAAGACCCTATTCTAATTCTCTCTTTTTTCTCCATGTTTCCCTGGTAGTCACCATGTCCTTGATAGATTACCAGGATGAAAAATTACCGATGTAATCTGACATTGATGATTTTAAACATAATGTTCGTAGCAAATATTAACTAGTACTACCTTTTTATTACTCTCGTAGAAACGTACTGGCCCCCGCCGTATCTTGCTATTTTGTGGTAAAGAAAACAATGAGAAACCCACCAACTATTTGTATTGCTGTTTTCCACCAACTTCGGTAGCTAGTTAATAATAATAGTTATCAATGCACATCGTACAATGCTATAGATTTTGATCAAATTTTCCACCAGTGATCCCAAAAAAAACGTGAAATGATGCTTTCATGAGAAAACTCGAAATACAATTATTTCCTTTGAGCAATTTTGAAGGTACAAACTTGTGTACAACATTATGCTATCATGAGAGGTCTCATAATGCAATTATTTTTCTTTGAGCAATTTAAAGGTTCAATTTGCGTCCACTCAGGGTTTTGGTCGGTATTTGGGTAATATAAAGAGAGAGAGAGCTGAAATCCCGGTACTTATATTCTTATATATTATTGTAAACAATCTTATAACTCCATAATCATATATACTAAACCTTCACGAAGCTTTGTAGTTTGTACACATGGTCTTAAGTTATTTAAGCTGATGGTTTTAGTCTCAAGGATAGGGATCCAACCACTATTTGGTATATAATAATGGCTCCACTATTATGTCACATGATTGTCTCAACAAAAAACTTAAACTGATGATTGACACTGTTTTGGTTTTTATTATTCTAATTTAGATAATTGACACTATAATTAAGGTACACATAATTATGAAGCAGTAGTAATAATATATTTTTTTATGGCCCTGGCTAATAACTTAATAACTAGATTGTTGAGTCTCCCAGTGACACGGGAGGGTCCTTTTTGGACCAAGTTCGTGAAAATGCTGAACATGGAGATTTTGGATCAGGATTGAAGGATATTTGGGTTCATTATTCTAAATTGGTTGGTTCAAGTATACATATGCTAATTCTCAAAAAAAAAAAAAGTATACGTATGCTAAGTATAGACTTATTAATTAGTAGTATTTCCTAGTAGTCAAATTGAGTTTTAAATATTCTTTTATGTTTCTTGGCAGTCCAAAACGTGTTTAGTTTCATTCGTCTATTTTTAGTGGTCAAAACACAATAAATGAATGAATGTACATGCACCTTTTTACGAAGGGATGTACATGCACTAATTCATAGAGGGATGTTCCATGACAAGTCTAAATACTTGTTATTTGATGTAAAACAGAACAAATAACAAGAGTGAATGAAATATTCAGAGTTCATATTGTACTGTATCTCTTTGTGAGTGGTGACCTTTTATCCTAAATTATGTTTCTCTTCATTTTTAATCTAAGAGTGGTGAGTTCTTACTTCTGAATCTCTAGGATGGTGTTTTTGCTATATATCCTTAGAGAGGTGAAATCTTTTACATATCTTGTTATTTCCGCGAGTATAGCCTATTCGGCATCACCCCCACCCAGTAACAATATCTTTTGTAGTCTAGATAGAGGATCAGCATTAAAATTGGGAAGCAAATTAATTTTCAAGAGAATAAAATTTGTGTTTAACATTCTGATAAGAATTGAAAAGTGAAAGTTACACTGGCTTTGATCACAACTACCATAATCACTGGCATCAATTATTATCCTTTCGTACGATATCTCCAATTCCATAATAAGTCAACTGGAGTTCAAGAATTGTTGAATCTCACATGATTGACCATCCAATTTGAGACATAGTCTGTACGTCCAATTGAAATTTGAGGACACATCATGATTGCCTAAATCAAACGCACATGAGTGGAAATCTCGATTTTTCACTTGGAAATATTTACTTTTAGATTTTGCCTAGCTATATGCCCTACATTTTATTTTTTTCATGATTACATTTACACATCTTGCTCCAAGCTGTATATATGGGTTTGTGGACGACACATTTGGTTTACAATTCAGACTCCACAAGGCCCAAGTTGGTCCGCTCCAACCCATTGCCAACCATATTATATCACTTCAATGTCCAATGAGAATCTCGCCATCTATGTCTCTAGATTAATGACTGTAGTAGACTAATATTGACTATTTCAGGATTTTGTGTTCTAGGTTAACACTTCAAAAGGATCTTTAATTTGTTTTACCAATCCACACCCAATTAGACATCTAAGTCTGTCCTGTGACAATAAGTAAGGTGACCTTAGCGCCATAGGTTTGTTATGTTACTTACTTGACTACTAATATTGATTCCCTAAAATTTGAAATGCAATGGCCCCACTTCCATTACTAAGCTTTACCCATCTTCATATAAGTTCGTCTATCACAGCAGAAGGAATATATATAGGCATATCACCATCTGCTTCTCCCTCTCTCGTTTTCTCCTCCTCTCTCGCATTCATTGTTGTGAATGTTGATTAGCCCCGTAGTTCTCTGCCCATCTTTCGGTTTACCCTCCAATCTCCATTGAACAACACAGAGATTCAAGCCAAGAAAAAAACATCCAAAATTCACACTCACAAAGTGGATAAACCCCTCTAAGAATCCCGTCCAAATTCTGTGGAATTATTCCCCTCCTGAAAATCCCTCCCAATCGTAAACTCTCCTTGGATAAGAGAGGAATTCATCGCTAAATCCCGGCCTAATCCTGCAACTCATCAGTGGTTGCGACTTCCCTCTCCTAAGCCAACAACAAGTTTTTTCCCCCTGATGGTTCTCTTCAGTTTTGTTCTTTCTCTTGAACACAAACAGCGCTGAAAAACAGTTAAACCACTACCATATATAGTGACACTATTTGCCTGTTGACTACACAGAAATATAAACGTACAACAGAGTTGTTCTTGCTACTGTTTCATGGACTGCTTGAGAGAAATAGAAGGCAAACAAGCTCATGATCCCTTATTCATCGAGAAAATGAATAAGCCCTCGCGTTGCGTCTGTGTTCCAGGTCCGGTGATCGTCGGCGCTGGGCCTTCAGGGCTCGCGGCGGCTGCTTGTCTTAAACAAAGGGGTGTCCCTAGTGTAGTCCTAGAGAGATCCAGCTGCGTGGCCTCTTTGTGGCAGCTAAAGACTTATGATCGCCTCCGCCTTCACTTGCCGAAGCAATTCTGCGAGCTTCCTCTAATGGGGTTCCCCAGCGATTTTCCAACCTACCCTACTAAAGACCAGTTTATTGGGTACTTGGAGGAATACGCTAGGAAGTTCGACATCAGGCCACAGTTCAATGAGGCTGTGTCACACGCGGAGTACGATCGAGTTCTGGGGTTCTGGCGCGTGAGGACGGTAGGGCTGAAGGGGGAGGAGACGGAGTACGTGTGCCGGTGGCTGGTGGTGGCAACGGGGGAGAATGCGGAGGCGGTGGTGCCGGAGATTGAAGGGATGAGGGAGTTTGGTGGGGATATAAGGCATACAAGCCTTTACAAGAGCGGAGAGGATTACAGAGGGAAAAAAGTTTTGGTGGTGGGGTGTGGGAATTCGGGAATGGAGGTGTGCTTGGACCTATGTAATCATAGCGCTAAACCTTCACTCGTGGTTAGAGATTCGGTAAGTATATGTTCATATATCTATATATGCTTAAACTTTGGTATAAGTTACTATAGTTAACCTAATGAAACCATAGTAGCTGCCTGCTTCTCCCCAAACCCCTCTCTCTCCCTCTTTCTCTAAGCCAAAAACCCTTCAAAGGTTAACCTTTTTGTGAAATATCAATTCCCATTCCGCAGGTTCGATCATGTGGAAAAAGGCTGTTCTCTTGTTTTTAGGAAATTACAACATTTCTGAAGTTCAGTAGGAAAAGCAAATCATTGCACTTTTTCTTCAGGTCTTTCACAGGAATAACGGCGTTGTTTGCAAAACAAATTCTCTCTCTAGCTAGTTTTGGAGCTGGAAATTTTCTATGAGAATTCTAAACAAAGAAAGTACTATATTTGATATAATTAACTTGAGCTTTACCTATGATTTGATCACTGCTAGAGCTTTGGCTGATTTTATTTTTGGAGAGATAATTAAATGCATATTTTAAACAAAAAAAAGTTTTAAAAAGCTTGTTCAATCACTTTCTTGGGATTCCTTAGCATGCGCAATATTGGTCGGAAATGGTAGGATATTACACACATACTATAGTACTTATGTTAATCATGCATCTCCTTTTGCACCTTTTGCGAGTTCCCGGGATTATTCTTTTTTTTTTCTTTTTTCTTTTTTCCTTGCAACCCAACGTTTTGTTTCAAGGCATATATGGAGTTATGGCCTAGAATGATTTAGCCCATGCTCTAGGGCAGGTAGAAGAAGCCCGCGCCCATCATCAACTGTGTCTCTTTAATTAGTTCTTCCCCTTTTACGCACTTCTTTTAAAGCTAATTCTTTTATATAGTAGTATAGTATATTTCTTTTTGGAGTTGCAACTTTTTAATTTTTTGGAGGTAGCGGGGGGTTAACTTGTGTGTGTGTTTTCTGTGAAGGTGCATGTTCTACCACGAGAGATGCTAGGATCATCAACTTTCGGGCTGTCCATGTGTCTTCTCAAGTGGCTGCCCATGCGTCTTGTGGATCGGTTCCTGCTCATAGTGTCAAGGCTCATGCTCGGTGATACGGCTCGACTCGGATTGGATCGCCCGCAATTGGGTCCCCTTCAACTCAAGAACCTGTCTGGGAAGACCCCAGTGTTAGATGTTGGGACACTGGCCAAGATCAAAAGTGGAGACATTAAGGTACTTCCCCTAATACATCACCTTTCTCACATCACTTTTCACTTGCTCTCTCTGGCACACACACACACCCCCAGTTAGTCTGTCTGTCTTTGTGATGGATGGATCAATCAAACTCCATCTCCATGTGTCAAAAAACACAATCGTACATGTATACTTGCTTTTTCTCTTGATTTTTCACGGGCTGTGTCGCATCGCATATGATAGTTTCTTAGCTAGCTATGTATTCCTGCACGAAGCTAAGTTAAATTTCTTTTTACTAGTCTTTTACTTAACCTAAAAGCAAGATGCTCCATTTGTTGCTTCTTTTTTTTTTGTCAAAACTCCATTTGTTGTTTTTCTTGTGGGAATTTTCTCTCTTTCATTCTTAATTTACTGTACTGTAGACTTATTGCAGTTTGCCATTATTTTTGTAGGTTTGTCCAGCTATCAAGAGGCTGAAAAGTTATACTGTTGAGTTCGCTAATGGGAAAATGGAGAAGTTTGACGCCATTATATTAGCAACAGGTTACAAAAGCAATGTACCATCGTGGCTGAAGGTATTCTTTATGCCCCTATCGTAGTTTTCTTGATTCCTAAGGATTTATGTGTTACATTATATATTAGTGTATCTTGAAATTGAGAAGACTAACAAAAAGTTGTATTATGATCATGATCAGGAAGGAGACATGTTCTCGGAGGAAGATGGATTCCCTAGAAGGCCATTTCCAAATGGATGGAAAGGGGAGAGTGGGCTATATGCAGTGGGGTTCACAAAGCGTGGGATATTGGGTGCTTCAATGGATGCCAAAAGAATAGCTGAAGATATTGAAATGTGTTGGGAAGCCGAAGCGAAACACACCATGGCCTTTGCTCGATCACTCATGACGCAATCATCATCACCCTGAAAATTCTTTGGTTTATTTTGAAGTTAGGTTTTTTTTTTTTTTAAATATATAGAGGGATTTGGTTGAAAATACTACTGCTACTACGTGCTACTTGCAATCGGCAAAAACAATGGGTTCTTTTTTGTTGGTGCCAGTGGAATTATGATACCATACCATACACATTCCAATAAAAGGGGAGGACTAAAGTTATTTTAAAGGGGGGAGAGATATATCAATGAGCCCTCAATTATATCTCTCCAAATTGTCACCAACCAACGCTTTGGGAAGGAGGAATTGCAGAGTGAAAGAAGCCTTGGTGGTGTTGGGGGGACCTCAGCTATCTGTACAGCTTTTGTACAATACAATTTTCCTCAAATTAGGCATGACTGTTTAGAGTAGAAAAGGGGAGGAGGAGTGGTTAATTGTTTGGTCTTATTTGTTGCTAGGTGATCATATCTTGTGCTTAATTAACCTGAATTTCTGTCTCCTGGTGGGCCTTGTGATGGAGAGAGTTTAACATTCGTTTATGTTTTTCTCCAACCCTAGTAGGTTTCATTTTCCATTTTACTTCTTTTTGGGGTTTGTATTTCATGTGACTTCATAATTAAGCAGAAATGACTCCTAATTAATGAAATCCTTCAAACCTTTTGACTATGCTTCCGTCAGGAATGATGCAATTTTCGTACTTTGTTTCTGCTTTCAAAGCTTAATAATGATATGCCATTCCTGTGACTTTTACTAATCCTGCCATCAAGTTTATAATAAATATTCTAGTGGAAGACAGGACCACCTCTTTATAAATTCTTAAATGGTCATAGGAAATTCACATGTGCAATTTTTACCAACGAGAAAAAAAAGGAAGCTAGCATGTGCTTTTGAAAATCTAAAGTCTTCTATAATGAACAAATTTCGTGGCAATGTGTTGCACCACCATCGCAAAACACCAATGACACACTTGATTAAGGTTCTTCAATGTTCAATTTGCCTTTCAATTTTTTGTTAGTGTCAAATATTAAATTCCTTTTGTAAGACCATCTTTTCATCATAATTAAGGTTTCAGCATTCGTGTACTCCATTAAAATGAAGAGGTTCATTTTCTGCTATTAACTCAATTGATACTGAATGATGAAGACCTTGTCATGGTCTAGCAAATTAAAGGAGCTAGCACAAAGTTTTGCTGGCCTATTTGAGTAAATGTCAGCACACATGAAACACAATGAAATGCAACCCTTATTTAGATTAAGTAGGTAACTTAAAATGAACAAGCAGATTGTGTCATTCTCATCACACGGGAAATGATTGTGTCACTCTCATATATTCAAACGAATCTCCTTAATCAAAACAAAAGCAATGCGTGCTTTTTGACAGCAAGGGAGTCCCACAAGCAGCCAATGTGATCAAACCTGAAAAGCTAAAAAGTGAAAACATGAGAAAAAAGTTGTAACTTCATTTAAAAAAGATAAATTAGACATTAATCTGCAAAGGGAAAGCTGTGAATTAACTAAGCAATGAATCCGGTTTTCGATTAGGAAATTGATGGGAATCACCATTTGCTGCAACGACTTCGAACACAACGCAAGGAGATGGTTTAAAAAAGAGCATCAATTTTAGAAACATAACCAATTAGATCATCGTAAATTTTTTAAAAGTGAACCAAAACAAAATCAAAATTAAACCAGAACAATCTTCAAGATACTATATTTTACTGAATAATTTTTATGTCATTTATCTTGGATAAAATTATCTAAATATGAATAGCATTATACTAAGAAATTTTGTTTCTCTAGGAAACATCTTATTGTTCTTTTCAGAAAATAAAGAACGAAACAGTTAAGATTGTGTGACATCAAAATTTAATCTTATAAGATCAAACAAGCAGTTTCCTGTTCTTGTTAACATGCACTTATAGCTAAGGTCAGTTAGGTAGATTTTACTAGATGCTAAGACCAAGCCAGAAGCAGCTGCAAATCCAAACCATTTCTTGTTGTATGCGGCAAACCAAGCCACCAGAATCTAGTTCTGTGCAGTTACTGTCCTATGCTTCTGTACTATTGTTATTATGGATATGACTTTTAGCTATTAAAAAAAAAAAAACAAACCAAGGTCCACATTTTTAGCCAAATGTTTTTGCTAACAAAAAATTAACTGATCCTGAGGCTAACTGTGGAAGAGTGAGAGGATGGCGAAGAATTGATCAATTGAAATCCACAGCTCCAACCAAAAGATTTTTGTTGCGATACTAGGATTTTTTTTTCATTTGTATTGTTCCTTGCAAAATGTTTTATATATATTGTGTTGGGATTTGGACTGTAATTGGACTTGGTCCAAGATAGGGTTTGGCTTGAAGGAAAAGTAAGACAATTAATTTTGCTTGGAGTACTCTCCAAGTAGTAGCTCTTTTGGCTATTATAAATATGAGGCTTTGAGTTGGTATTTAGGAGAGCTGCAAAGTAGTTGTGGGTGTGCGGCTAGAGTAGATAAAGAGTAGTATTTTCTTGAGAGGTTTGATGTACTAATATTTTTATATTAGTGAAGAGAGGAAGATCGTGGAGATAGGCAAGTTTAAGGCCAAACCACGTTAAATCTTTGTGTCTTGTTTTATTTTTCTGCGAATCTTTTGCAGTTTTCCCCAACAACTGGTAGCGGAGCCAGGTTTGATAAAGGTTCGCGATGGCGGTTTCAGGCACAAAGTTTGAGGTGGAGCAATTTGATGGCAAGAAGGATTTCAGTCTCTGGCAAAGTAGCATCAAAGATCTGTTGGTGCAGCAGGGGTTGATGAAGACGCTCTTTGGCAAGGAGAAGAAGCCAAAGGACATGAAGGATGAAGATTGGGAGGAGCTCGAGCAGCGAGCTGTTAGTACCATCAGATTGACTCTTGCGCCAGACGTGAAGTACAGTGTGATTGACGAGACAAGTCCGGTGGAGCTGATGAAGAAATTAGAAGATATCTATATGTCGAAATCACCCACAAATCGACTATTTATGAAGAAAGAGTTGTACCAGTTGAAGATGTACGAAGGTACGCATGTTGAAGATCACATCAATCGATTTAATAAGTTAATTAAGGAGTTGGCTAGCATTGATGTGAAGTGTGAAGAAGAGGATAAGGCCTTGATGTTGTTGATATCTCTTCCGCATTCGTATGACAATTTGAGGAATTCATTGTGTATTGGGAAGCAGACTCTTTCAGTTGCAGATGTGACGGCAGTGCTAATGGAGAATTTCAAATTGAACCAGTCTAGTAGCAGTGCAGGTGAAGATGTTACCGTAGCAGAGATTAACTGTGGCAGGGGCCCGTCACGGTCTAACAAGTTTCGAAGAAATTCTAGTTCTGGTTCAAGAGGAAGAGTTGATTATAAAGATAAGGAGTGTTACTACTGTCACAAGAAGGGTCATATCCAATTTTATAGTGAGGAGATGAAGAAGGATATGGAAGAATTAAAGAAAAATCGCAAGAAGTCTGGTGAGACTGCGATTGTTGAAGATGATTCGGATGGTGAAGCCTTCCTTGTACAAGAAGGAAAAGGTGAGCACAAAGTTGAAGATTCGTGGATTTTAGACTCTGCCTGTTCATTTCATATTTGTGCAAATAAAGAGTGGTTTAGCAGTTACAAGCCTTGCAGTGACGGAGAGGCAGTAGTATTGGCAGATAATCATGAATTAAAAATTCATGGTATTGGTAGTGTGAAGATCAAGATGCATGATGGATTTGTGAAGACTTTTGGAGATGTGAGGCACGTGCCAGAGCTTGGAAGAAATTTAATCTCCCTTGGTAGACTTGATTCGAGAGGATGTGGTATTTCTTCTCGAGTTGGAGTTTTGAAGGTTACCAAGGACGCCTTGGTAATTATGAAGGGGGAACCTATGGAGAAGAACCTTTACAGGTTGATTGGAGATGCAGTGAAGAGCAGTACGAAGGTAGAGGCTTATGCAGTGTCAGGCAGAAAGCAGAACGTTATTGCATCCAACAAAAGAAAGGTTGGTTTTGTAATGATGACTAGCAGCAGTGGAGATAGCCGTGCACGGGCATGTAGAATACCCAAGCAGATTTGGATGAAGAAAAATGAAGCTGTGAAGATCACCAAGTCCAATTCAGCCCAAGGTGGAGATTGTTGGAATTTGGGCTGCAATTAGACTTGGCCCAAGATAGGCTTTGGCTTGAAGGAAAAGTAAGACAATTAATTTTGCTCGGAGTACACTCCAAGTAGTAGCTCTTTTGGCTATTATAAATATGAGGCTTTGGGTTGGTATTTAGGAGAGCTGCAAAGTAGTTGTGGGTGTGCGGCAAGAGTAGATAAAGAGTAGTATTTTCTTGAGAGGTTTGATGTACTAATATTTTTATATTAGTGAAGAGAGGAAGATCGTTAACGTAGGCAAGTTTAAGGCCGAACCACGTTAAATCTTTGTGTCTTGTTTTATTTTTCCGCGAATCCTTTGCAGTTTTCCCCAACATATTGGTTATTTCTGTTTTTATATAGGACAATATTAATAAGCATATCTCCTACTTGGAAGGAATTACCCTCATCAGGCATTTCATTATTGTTTTTTACTGGTTTAGGGTTGCATGCATGCGTTGTCTATATATGTATCCATGTATAGGTCACTACAATATGGGTTCTGTGGAATGAGCATGACAATACATAAATTACCGGGAAGGGTTAGCTAGGATTTTTAAAGAAATATAGGTGGTGGGGTTTATTCCGACCGCATATAATTGATGAGCTGAAATCGAATCCTGGCTTGAAAATAAGGACATCACTCTCCTACAATCATGAGATAGAGGAGAGAGGCATGGAGGGATCAACGTCAAAGGACATTTCTTCTCCTGCAATCCCATTTAGAGGCAAGCATTAGAGAGGTTTTTGCACCCAGTTGCAGGGCCCATGAGATCCAAATGGCTATCTCCTTTGGGCCCCTTTGGGCCTTTATTACCAACAACTGTCCTTCATTTCCCCACTACTTCTTTCCTTTCGCTTCTGTTATACAACAAAGTAGTTTAAGAAAAGAAAAAAAAAAAATCT